TTAGATATATCTACAGATTATATATAAAAAACAGGGGTATTAGATATATATTAGATAACATATAGTATATAAGAATAGATATATATATAGATTATAATATGGTATATGACGTGATACCGATACTATAGATATATAGATATATAAGAGATAGCATGATATGAGATAAGAGTATATATATAGAGATATATAGATACGAGAGATATTATAGAGACGACATATATAGATCGAGATACATATATATATATATATACATAGAGAGATAGACAAATATAGAATATATATAGTATATATAGAGATATATATATATTATAGAGATACTATGATATAAGGAAGAGATATATGGAGATGAGAGAGATAGATATATATATATAATATATATTATATATATGTATAAAAGATAATGATTATAATATATATATATAATGTATATATATATAACGGATATATATAGAGATATGTATATATAGTGTTGACTATGATGAGTAGATATAGTAGAGAGATGATAGAAGATAGAGACGAGAGGGAGTATAGAATAGAGATATGTTGGATATATATAAATAAGATCTATATATAATATAGTGATATAATAATATATATATATATATATATATATATATAATATATATTATAGTTGTATATAGATATTATAGTATATATATATAAATATAGATATATATATATATAGGTTGTTATATAGATAAAAAGATATAGAGATGAATAGAGATACAGATGGGTAGACAGTATATCGATATAGATACATAGTGGAGAGTATATAGTATAGCCTCTATATAGAGTATAAGATAGAGAGAGAGAGAGATATAGGATATGAGACAAAGGGGGAGAGATATAAGGAGAGAGAGTAGAGATATAGAGGATGAGAGATAGCATAGAGAGAGAGAGCGATATATAGATAGAGGGGGTATATAAGATGAAAGAAAGAGAGAAGCTAGTAGAGATAGATAGATATAGAGAGAGTAGAGAGAGGAGAGAAAGAAGAGAGAGAGAGATGAGATGGGGAGAAGAGAGGAACCAGAGAGAGAGAGATAGCAGCAGAGATGCGAGAGTAGAGATATAGCAGAAGAGATAGAGAAGAAGAGAAGACCTATGATAGTGGGGAGAGCAGCGAGAAAGATAGAGATAGAGAGAGATAGAGCTGAAGAGAGATTAGATATAGGATGAGAGAGAAAGATACAGGAGAAGGGATAGATAGAGATAGATAGAAGAGAGAGTATATATCTAATGAGAGGGAATATAGAGGTGGTAGATCATATGTAAATATATAGAGAGAGAGATGAGAGAGAGATGATAGTATAGATGAGATATAGAGAGATAGATATATAGATAATGGAGATAGATATGAGATTATAAGAAGAGATATAGTAGAGAGGGGATAGAGATAGAGATGAAGAGAGAGACGAGACTAGAGAGAGTGGAGATATATGTAAAAGAGTAGAGTAGAGAGAGAGTTGAGAGAGAGATAGATATATAGTATAGACGTATAGTATAGTTAATACGATGATATAGAAATATATAGAGATATAGTGAAATATAGAGAGAGATGAGACAGGAGAGATTAGAGAGAGATAGAGATATAAACAGTAAGAGAGATAGATACAGAGATAATATATATATATCGAGATAGATAGATAAATATGAATAGAGATATATAGACAATATAGATAGAGTAGAAGATAGGATGATATGTAATAGATATGATATACAGATATATAGTGATAGACAGGATAGAGGATATATAGATATAAGATATATAGATGCCTATATAAGTATATAGATATATATATATATAGATTATTGTAGAGAGAGAAATATAGATATATGAGTAGAGAGATATATAGATATATAAGATATAGATAGATATATAGATATTAGATATAGGTTGTATAGATCTAAAGAGAATAGATGGGAGATAGGATGATAGAGATAATATACAGACGAGATAGATAAGAATGGACGAGAGTAGATAGAGAGATATAGAGAGATATGATGAGAGATATATGATATAGAGTACAGTAGAGAGTATAAGATAGAGGAGATATAGATAAGAGAAGAGATAGATTGAGAGCGAGATATATATTAGGGAGAGAGAATATGATAGAGAGAGAGATAGATAGAGTATAGAGTATGATGATAGTATATATATAGGAAGAGAGGATAGATCGAGAGAGGTGATAGAGCAGATAGATAGGTAGAGAGAGATAGATAGATAGATAGTATACGAGACGAGATATATAGTATGAGAGATGGAGAGAGCGAGAGATAGAGAGAGATATATATAATATATATAGAGATGGATAGAGAGATAGAATAGTATATAAGATAGAGATATAGAGAAGAGAATAGATATATATATAGATATATATTAGGAGATATATCGAGATATGGATATATATATATAGGAGATATATATATGAATATATAGATTATATATGTAACCAAGATATAATTAGTAGATAGATAAAGAATAATATAGATATAGATATAGATTATCAGAGATATCAGATGAGTATATGTAATATAAGTTATATAGATAGACAACTAGAGAGCTATTAGATATAGAGCGATAGATATCTAGATAATAGATAGAAGATTAGAAGCTCTTATCTATAGAGATATATATAACTATAGTAATAGAGATGGTAGGTAGATAATATATATTATAGATTATGTAGATATGATAGTAAGAAGATATATAGAAAGATCTATAGATAGAGAGAGAGATATCTATATATATAGTAAGATAGATTGATATATAGAGATAGAAGATATGGACATGATGGGTAGGATATAGATCGAGATAGGATATATTAGAGAGGAGATAGTAGATAGAATATATGATAGAGATTATATATAGAATATATATAAAGAGAGATATGAGATAAAGATATATATATGATAATTAGATTAGACAGAATAAAGATTAGAGATAACAGTGATAATATAGAACATAGCTATATAGAACATGGGTTATATATATATAAGATATATATGATAGAATAGATTAATATATAGATATATATAGATAATATATATATATATCGATATAGATACATATATATAAGTAACATAGTATATATATATATACAGATATAGATTAATACAGATACATAATATATACATCTAAATATATATATATATAAGAGAGTATACATATATATGCTAGTATCTAAAAAAAAAAAAATATATAGAGATAGAGATAGCTAGAGATATAGATATAATATATAGAGATATGATAATCTATAGATATGGGAGTGGATAGATAGCTATGTTATAGTTAGATATATGTATATTATATATATGGTAAGATATATATATCTATAGATATATATGTATATTATATATAACATGAAAGAGATACATTATGTAGAAGAGGAGAGTATATATGATATATATAGAGATAGAAAGATTATATCTAATTATAGAGTATACAAATGTTATATATATATATGTATATATATATAAATGTTATATATATATATATTTATATATATATATATTTATATATATATATATATATATATATATATATATATATATATATATATATATATATATATATATATATATATATATATCACCCTTAGTGGTTACCTAGGAAAGGTTACACAGTCAGGTAAGGTCAGGTTTGACTGACAGCCCTGACAAAGCCTATCTTCAGTTTTTTTTCTAATATATTTTCAATATTGATGAAAAATGTACAAAAATATAATGATGGTGTCCCCTACAGCAAAGGCCTTTGTCCATGCAGAGCCATGTTACAATCCAGTGAATGTTCTTAGTTTCATAAGGGAATTATGCTTTAGACCTAAAACGGTGTCTGTATCACTGGGATGTAACGAGATGCAGACATCAAAAGGCGTCTTTATCAGTGAAACGGTTAAAGAATATTGTATAGTAGATTATATCTTCCCACAGCATCTGGGGACAAGAGATGAGACAGAGAAAGATATATATGTATAAAAAGGAACCATGGTAAAAAATGCATAAATTTCATAATATATACTTCTGCCTTTTATTCTATCCATGAGATACATGAATAACCTAGACACCTTTTTTTTTTTAAGATGCTGTACCTTATAATAAATCATTGTTACCATAAAATGTCATGTGTGTTGGTTTATCATCTAAACTGAGGAAATTGCATTTTATAACATGCTCAGAGCACTTTAAAAGATGGGTGGATAGGAAGCTCATGATCATGAAAAATCCAGCATGAATCAACTGCAATCCAGTGCAGGAATGATCATGATTATTATTATGAACGATAAATATTAAATAGTAATGATCATGAATAATCTAGATCTACCATCAGTCAAACGCAAGAGAAATAATGCATCAGTCTCCTGTATCAGTTCATTATTGAATGCATACTGGCATTTGGTCCAGTTTATCAATGACCACATAAGTTCTAAATTTGTAATCTTACGGACGGATATCTTCTTTTTTGATATCTTGAATGACATTCAACAATGATGAGGAGCTGTACACATAAACAAAAGATGAAAAAAGAAGAGGAAGAAGGAAAAAAAAAGAAAAGAAAATTTTTTGCTGTATCATCCTTCAATTTTGATACAGCTTCTCTCTGTCATTATCTGATATCTCCTTTTAAGAAATTCTACTACTGATCTCTAACATAACTATAACTCACGTTGATCAACTGGCAAAGAAAACTTAAGATAGAACAAATTCATGATAGACTCATATCATCTTTCTGGCATCTACCAGTAACAAAACTAATACTGAACACTCCATTTTATATCCCTTACAGATAAATAGATAAAATACAGGAGTCACTGGTCCTACAACAATGTACATTGAATGACCACAACCCATGCCCAACTAAAGTGGATATCAAAATTTTGCAACTTGACTGCATTCCTGTCTGCCTTCTCACAACTTGTCTTCTATACTTGTTAGCTTTGTTAGCTTCTTCAAATTACTTTCTTCACACAACTTCAATGCCCTAAATTTCTATTTCTCACTCTTTGCTCGCCTTCCCATCCTTGATCTCTTTCTTGGGTGTCTTCCCGTACATGGCGTCCAGGGTGAGACCTAGAAGAGAAATACGTCCATCAGATATATTTCAGACTAAGATACTTCTTTATTACTATGGAATAATCACTGACCAAATCAAAGAAAACTGTCAGAGTAAAAATATTTCAGAATATATGTTACAGAGCTAAATAAGTTCAATATCATTTTTAAAGAAAATTATATATACTTTTTAATGATATGCAAAATAGGTATGGTTGTCGGTGAACTTACCTGAAAACACAAGGAGAGTTCCACCCCACTGTCTGTTTGACAGCTCATTGCCAAAGAAAATGACTGATCCCAGGACAGTGAAGAACTTCCGTGTTGTAGTGACAATGGAGCAAGGTAATGGACCATATTCACTCACCATCAGGAAAATGAAAAACTGAAAATTGATCAAAAGAATAATCATGTAATTTAATAAAACAATACAAATTTACGATTAATTCTTTATATATGAAACTGGGTTTTATTAACCCATTGCCAATGGGGAAAATTAATAAAAAATGGGGAAAATACTCTTCTCATTTTTTATATTTTTTGTGAAATGTCTCTACACATAGATGGCTCTGCCTTACCTGACTTCACCTTTCCTTGAATTGGCGGGAAAATGTACTTTTTACTAGTGCTATAAATATTGATGGTGTTATTTTTATTATAAACATTATAATTAATATAATGTTATAAACAGCAGTTGTAGTAGTAGTAGTAGCAAAATAAGATAATGTAAAATATTTTTGTAAATTAAAGAAAAGGGTAAACGGGCGAGACAGGCAGTACTCATAACTGGCTCTTTGATGATTTAGTACAAATGTAGCCATCTATGTGTAAAAACAATCAAACAAGTGAACTCGCAGTGGGCATGGCATGTACATACATGCCATGCCCATCGGGAAATGGTTAAAATAGTTCAAAAACTAGTCAGAAAAGAAAGGCATAATACATAAAACTAATATTTCAGTTTGAGGGGGAAAGGAAAAAAAATTGTGGTATCAAAATTGGACAAAAAATAGTAATCCATTTAAAAAAATCACTCTACACTCATTCTAGTATTAGTATTGGTTCTTTCAGGATATCCTAAATATAAAAGCTAAATCAAGGTCTCTATTTTATCAACTATGGATTAAACATAGTAGTCAATTTACAGGGGCCACCTTAGGCAGTCAGGGTAATAGCTGAAGTACATCATATAAGTTGAAAGCAAAGTATAACAACACAAATATTAAAAAAATATATGTAGAACATTATACTGTATGAAGTCTAGTCATCTAATACAGGAAATTATAAGTACAATACATATAAAATTAAAAATCATTAACAAAATTAATGTCATACGTAAACTTACCTGGCCAAGAGCACTGCAGACACTGAAGATCAGCATCTTTGTCATGACTTCAGGGAAACGCTGCACAAATGCAACGAAAGTGAACAGCTCACCAGTTACAAGCAGAGCTGCCAACAGATAATTAAGTTTGAATATCTCTTATTCATTGTCATTCACCTTTACAGTTATAAGCATGAGGACTTATAAGAAAAGTAAAATTCTCAGTACTAGACTTAAAATAGCATTAACCCCTTGCCGCCGGGTGACGGCGATACGCGTGTAAACAAATCGCTCGAAAGGTGGCGTGCGGCCAAACCAGCCGGCGGCGCGCCAAAGCGCAGCGAGCCAGTGATTCGGGCTGACGCCCCGTACTCCGGCGCTCAAAGTCGGCGCGCCGCCTTTGTTTGCCAGAGCGTAGAGTTTTATTTTCCTTTTGTACACCCGGCGTCATTGGGTTAATGCCTATAAAAGAAGATTCTTCTTATCTAACAAATCAAATATAAACAAATAAACAAATTACAATAAGCTGTTAAAGGCAATAAAAAAATGAATAAATAAAATAAAAATAAAAATGAAAATATACATCCTAAACTAGCAACAAAAAATAGGGCAACAAGCTTAGTAAATGCTGATGGAAGAAGAAAAAGACTTCATGAAAACCTATTCTCTCCTCCTTCCACAAGAGCTCCACAAAATTGGAGGATCCACAAATGAGCCCTTGTATGGAAAGGATTCATGATCTCTGACAGTACAACGGGGAATCATACACACCAACGGCAAGGTAACCAATCGAGAAGAGGTTCATGTTGAGCATCATGTGGCCTGACTTCGTCTTGGACTCGGCAATCATCCTTTCCTGAACAGCACCTGTTAGGCCATCCATCGTCAAGGAGAGCACCTAAGACGTTAGTGGCAAGATTAGTCACGGGTTAGTGGCCAGTGCCATGCAGGGAAAGATGAAAAGCTTGAAAGTTCAGTTAAGTGAAATCTATTCTAAATGAGTAGAGCATAATTTATGTAATGATATATACAAGTATATATTTTACTGTTGAAGTACATACTACTTTTCTTATTCATTATAATATCTAACACTTCAACTTAATAATATACTTTCTAATTAAATT